TGACATTTTTGGATAATGCTATACAAACTTTGCCTATGCTATGATTGTTTCTATGAGTATACTGTTCACTTAACTGCTTTTGTTAACGTATTATGTTGTTCTTTGCTCTTGCTTCTATCTGGTTTCTATTTTTAATGTACACTTCATTTGTAGTATTAACAATCTTATGATGAATATGCTCTGCTTTATACAGTTTGGGATAAGATCTGCAGTTTTGAATGCTGAGTTGCCACAAAATTCCCGACTACATATTATAGAGGTATCATTTTTGCATGGCTTTTATCAAATTATTTGTAACTACAAGAACTTAATAAATGGATAAATGAAGCAACAGCTTGGGCGTTACATGACCCTGGAGATAGGTTCCCTTCATCTCCTTAGATTGCTTGTTAAATTATGTACCTGTGCTTTATGAAGGCACTTGTCTCTAAAACTCTGCCATTTTTTTGTTTCTAACTATTGGCTAGCATATGCCTCTATTGCGTGAATAGCAATATCTTTCCTGTTCTCTGGTTTAGTCTTGGACCCTTATTGTTGAGAAACAGAAAAAGTCATTATGGAAGGTTACCAGTTAAATAGTATTTAAAACTTTGATATCTAATCTTTTGCTAGAAACTTGCACAGATTACTTGTGTTGACAAGGTGGCTCCAGAAACAATTTAAATTGTTTGTGTATTTCTTTTTAGGCATTCAATGCGAGGTTATTTGATTATCTGATAGCAACGGATGATACTAAAACAAAGGAGGAGAAGCAAAATAATAAGGATAAGGAAAACAAGAAAGAGCCAAAGTTGTCCCGCAAACGGGAGAAGCAAACCAATAAGGAAAACAAGAAAGAGTCAAAGGTGTCCCGCAAACATTTGCAACAGACTTTAGATGCCGAATTTGGAGTTGTCAGAGGAATCGACTTCAAAAATGTATTTACAGTAAGTAAATATATTGGTCTAATCATCATCAGAGATTCAGAGGCACTGTATCACCGTTACATACCTTGTTGCGATTAAGTCAGTAACTGAGAACATTTCTTAGGTTAACTGCTGGATCAATATGTGTTCTGTTTTGTTGGCAGTTTTGTTATATTTTATCTTGGAGCTTACAGTTATATCACTCATCATGAGCTGTAGATGCTGAATTTTATGTAGAGAAATTGTCGTCCTATGTTCTCTCTGAAATAAAAGAGAGAAGGATTCAATTTGAATGTCTGGTGTATGGTTCATCAATTATTCTCTTTAGAAAGATCTATAAAGAAGTTCGGATTTTGTCATCCTTTTTTATGGCTTAATAGCTCGAAATTAGGATAGGTCACTCAGAAAATGAAATTTTGTCTTTAACCCTGTTTTTTAGGTAGTCAATTTTGACATGCCTCTGGATGCTGCTGGGTATGTTCACAGAGTAGGGCGAACAGGTAGAGCTAATAAGACTGGTTCATCCATATCGCTTGTAAGTTTAATGACATACATGGTTTATTCATATAAATTTATCATCAGAAATAACTGACATGTTGCAAAGTTCTTATTTGTTCTGATGTTTATGTCCATATGTTTTGGCAATTGCTTCTTTAGGTTTCACAAGAGGAGGATAGTACTTTTAAAGAGATTGAGCATATGTTGCAAGATGTCGAAAAGAAAGATATGGACTGCATTTCACCTTTCCCATTACTTACAAAAGATGCTGTTGAGTCTCTACGTTATAGGGCTCAGGTCTGCAATATATCTGTTGCGGATTATATATTTGACTTTCTTCTGAGCATATTCTATATTTCCGTTTCTTTCCATCTATGCAACTTGATGCTAGCATAGATTGTATGGAACTTATTATTTGTGAGGATGTTCTAGTATTTGAGTGAGGCATGGGTTGCCTGGTGAGGATCTACTATATTGTGGTTACTGGAAGGCTAAATGCTGATCTGGTAATAGTGTCCAATGCAGTTGGCAGCGTAATTTTCAGTTGATTCTTGTCATTTATTAGTCAAGTAGATACTATGTATATGAACCTTCGTTGCACTACTGAGAGCCTGGAGCCTGGATATGTGGGCATGCTCATTAAATATGAAACCTTGCTCAGGTGTATCTGTTTGTGTTAGTCTTGGGCTCTTGGCCCTTTCTTGCCTGGTAAGGAAATTCATTTGATTGGCTAAAAAACTACTGTTGCTTTTTGCCTGGGCAAGCTAGTAGTAGTAATCAGGCTGATATGCAGAATAGTTGGTGCGGAGCATGTTAGCTTGAATCTGTACTTGATCTTGTGCTAATGTGAGCAAATGTGTGTGTGTGTGTGTGTGTGTTTGCAGAAGTTTTTTTTTTGAAACAAATCTTGCAACTGGCATGGTTGCTTTTTTTTGTGTGTACTCAAGCAGCGGTACTGATATGGATGGCTATTGTTAACTAGCACTACTCTTACAGGATGTTGCAAGGAGTGTGACAACACGTGATATACAGGAAGCGCGTCGGCAAGACATAAAGAATGAAATCCTCAATTCTGAGAAGTAAGATCCTTGCTGCAACTAAAGCAGCTAAATTGTTGGTAGAATGCAAATTGCATAATGATAGTTTAATATCTTGAAAACAACCTACTGGTTCTTCTCGGAAAAAGAAAAGGAAAAAAAAAACTCATTGCCGGTATACTGCTAGATAGTAACAAACTGTGCTTTCTTGCTGAGAAACCGAGAACATCAATTGTACATATTTTTCATGAAACAAAAGATCATTTTCATTTGAATTCATTTCTGCACCAATAATATTTTCTTCCCTAATAGTCATGCCTTTTTTTTACCTTGTAGATTGAAGTCTCATTTTGAAGAGAATCCAAGGGACCTTGGTAAGATTTACAAGTTCTGTGCAGAACAGTTGTGTTTGTATGTAACCTGTCTAAGCAACCATAATGGATATTTTATTTCTCCTTTGCAGATTTGCTCAAGCACGATAAGTTGCTAAGCAACAAGGAAATTCCTGCACACCTGCGTGATGTCCCTGACTACCTAATTGATCCGAAAACAAAAGAAGCGAGCAATGTTGTCAAACTTTCCAGGGCTGCTATGGGTATCGAAAAGCCCCAAAGGCGGAAAAGACAGGGGTTCAAGGGAGAATCAGGGAAAAGTAGAGACCCTCTTAAGACTTTCTCTGCTGAGGTGCGTTTACCCATTTGATGGCTTCAAAATTTCAGATTAAACTTTAATGACATTTCTTGACATCAAGCATGGTCTGGTTTCCTGAACTGCCCTGAAAGTTCAGTTCCGTGGCTTGTTTCTTCTTTGGTCATGTGATGCCCGATCATGCTGTTTGTGCTGCTGCTGCAGCAAAGTCTTCAATAACTACAGTGACTGGAGAGAAAAGCATGCAGCCACAGCTGCCACCGTCGCCGAAAAATGGCAGCAGAGCAGAGCTGGCAGAGTTGGCAGTTGCTCAAACTTGCTACAAGCGACTAGAGAAACATATATAGAGCTAAAATAGTCTTGATAGTGCTTCTGGATCTGGTCTTTTATTCTATCTGTCGAATGATGCAGCGCAATCCTTTCATGTTCTGATTTTCTTGTTTACTGGCAGGGCAAACGAGGGAGACGGAGGAAAGATAGAGAGGGCGAACCAGGTAGAAGAAAGAAGAGTAGGAAGGCAGAAAGTTGATTTTGCAGGGAGTTTGCTATCAAGCTCGCTCAATTTTGTAGGCTTCTTGTTTTAAGCCACATGACAAACTGTTGTGTCGGTGACACTCGTAGCTAAGGAGTGATTTTTATTGCCTGATGTATATTTACGACTAAAAACGTAAACTCCTTCCAGCTAGAAACATGAAACTTCTTTTTTAGAACATGGAAGTGATTAGATAGAACACAATGTAAGCAACCAAACAAAATTTTACCAAACGCGACTTGTCTATCAAACACCAATTGTTTATATTGGCTTGATGTAGTTGTGCTGCATGTAAGATCTAATACGAAGAAAAGCAAAGGAAAAGAAAAGGATCGGTTGCAGCCCACTGCTCGCACTAATTGATTTGGTATCAGTTTTACTGTCTTGATAACATAAATATAGCAATCTCCTAGTACTATTTCTTTTAAAATTATGACCACACGTTTGAAAAAGAAAGTATTAACAACAATGAGTTTCCTTCCATTGCATGATGAAACCTGTTCCATCACATTGCATGTTCCATGGAATTTTTGACAAAGCCACTGGCTTCAAACTCTGCATTTTTTTTCCTACGATTCCATTCTATTAGTACTCATTTAGTACGTTTATGCCTCCAGCTATATAAAAAAAAAACCTAAAAAAAACTTCATCCCGCGAGCGCTTTATGATGATTCAGTGATTCACCAAACAATTTCGGAGCTATAGAGCAGTTCACTGTTCGATCTTCATGGAGCCTGTAGAGCATAGAAGGAACATTTCTGTCAGAGTAAGATGGATGGATTACTACGGTGCGACGGCCTCGGCGCGGCGGAGCTGGGGAGCGGTGCTGCGGCGGCGCGGCGTGCTCGGCGCGGCGTGCTCGGCACGGTGTTGGCGCGACGACCGTGCCGATAATGCCACATCGTGCCAGAGCCTGGCCAGGGCCGGACCGCCCGTTTAACCCCATCCATATCTCTGCTGTGACTCTGTCCCATATCCAAACGCCTACCCGTCTCCTCCCCGTCGCCTCCACCTCTCCTACGACCCGGCCTCTCTCGATGCTCTCTCCATGGCACCCTCTCCTCTCCCCCCTTACACCTCCTGCCATGGAGCTACGTTCACCGCTGAACTCACAGAACTGCTCCCTTTACTCCTCCATTAGACCACCACCACCACCGCGCTCCTTGGCGCGGGCGCCCCGGGCCCCCACGCTTTCCGCCACCGCAGCGGCCGCCGTCTCGTCGCTGTCCACCACCGCAGCGGCGGCCTTCTCGTCGCCTTCCTGTCCAAAGAAGAAGGTCTAGTCTCCATTCGCCACCCCAACTCTCGCTGTCAGCACGGATGTCGAGGCTAACTTTCCCGCGCCTTCTCTCTATTACGAAGGTTCTCGTGCCCGTCGCCATGGGTACGGAGGAGATGGAGGCGGTCATCATCGCCGGCGTCCTCCGGCGAGCTGGCGCTGACGTGACGCTTGCCTCTGTGGAGGACGGCCTCGAGGTGGAGGCGTCCTGCGGCTCCCGCATCGTCGCCGACACGCACATTGCCTCCTGCGCTGACCAAATGTTCGATCTTGTGGCTCTCCCGGTAACTCACTCTCTCTTCTTTTACTGACCTACAGTACGTGGCATAGATGGTTCCTGTGGAGCTTACTGTATCGAGGATAGGAATTAGCAAGAGAAACGATTCAGAAGCGTCAATCGTTCTAATATGTATTTTGATAGCAACGAAAATTTTACAATCTTTCGTAAAAAAAAAAGTAGTAATATGACAATACTTCACTCCCACGCCATTTTCTCCATGATTGCTCAATTTTCGTGCTGATGGTGAGTGGTCAATCTCTCACGGTCTCACCTTTTTGTTCTGTGGTGTTACATGTGTACATCACTTACTGGCAGTGCGCAAAATACCATATTTGATTCATGCATTGCTGTGTCCAGGGAGGAATGCCTGGTTCAGTGCGGTTGAGAGATAGTGATATCCTTCAGAGGATCACAGTTAGACAGGCTGAGGAGAAAAGATTGTATGGTGCTATATGTGCCGCACCGGCGGTTGTTCTAATGCCGTGGGGTCTCCACAGGAGAAAAAAGGTGATCAATTTGCTATATGGATAAATTTAGTCTACTGATATTTGGGTTTTGTAGTGACATGGTTTTTTTTTTTCTTCTTTCTTTACAAGATCACCTGTCACCCATCTTTTATAGGAGATCTCCCTGCATTCCGAGCTGTTGAATCAAATGTTCAGGTTTCAGGAGAGCTTACTACAAGTCGTGGCCCAGGGACAGCATTTCAGTTCGCTTTATCATTTGTTGAACAAATGTTTGGACCTCGTGCAGCTGAAGATATGAACAGGATTTTGGTTTGTCCAAAGAAACTTTAATAATTTTTTTATTTCACATAATACCTTTAAGCGAATGGGTCTGTAGCCTTGTGGTCATAGGAGCCTTAGTTGCACCTTAGATCCTGTGTTCAACTCCCTGTGGGAGCGAATTTAAATAGGCCTGGGTTAAAAAACACCACTCGTCAGTCGTGTTCCTGAGTTAGACGTGTAACCACCCGAGTCGCTTTCAACGAGATGCACATGGCCGCAGGCATGTGTCCTGGGCCCTTGGTGGCACGTCCAGGACAGCCGGCCTTAGGGTGTTTCTCAGCCTATGCGCGAGAAGTTTCTTCTTAATGCAATGCCACAGAGGGCGTTAGGTCGAGTTTTTCTTCTTTTTGTAGTCCTTTTGTTGATTAGAGAACTGAGGATATCTATTTGTAGATCCTCCAGTTCAGAGGCTTGTTCCAGGACCTCCTTGAGGGTTTTGTTTGTCCGCGTGGAAAATTAAATAGTTTTCCACCCCAATACATGTGGATTAGAGTGCAGCCAAACAAGCCTTTAAGGGTTTGGTGCTCCCCTCTCTTAGGACAAAGCCCCAGGAGAGAGAGAGAGGGGGGGGGTATGTCCCTGTGGGAGTTATTTCCTTTTAGCTGATCAGGTTGTTTGACATAGAAAATCAGTCTGATGTGGTGCTTAAGGTCATGGGTCCTCCCTTACCAGCTTAAATAAATAAAATCTATGACACATGATTTGTCCTTTTCATTCTTGTTTCCCCCATTAAATTCAGTTTGTTCACGCCTACTGTCTACTCAAACTGCTCAGTTTTTGTTTATCAATGCTGATGGTTATTTTGTATATTCCCCTATAGATGGCACAAACTCACGACGATCTTGAAAGGAGTGCAGAAGTCAATGAACTTGAGTGGTCTGTTGATCGCAATCCTGATGTAAGTCACCTTAAACTGCATGCTTCATCATCTTATACATGGGTTCATCCTTTACCAAAGATTTTATGTCACAATATGGAGGGCATCATGCTTAAATGAAAAATATAATTTTAATCTAGGCATTTATTATCTTTAAAAATCAATACACCAGAGTAAATTACTGTACAATTTGGCCTGCTATATTTAATGTAGTTGATCTCTCTGTTCCTGCTCAAATGCTGGATTGCTGTTTTATTATATCTAGTCTAGGGAATTCCAGTCATACTCATATGTCATATCCATGGACATTACATGGAATGATATGATTGGCTTCACCTATATTTTGTTGGAGTGTTGGCTGTTTTATTATAACATTGAGGTTGATTTGACATCGGAAACAGGTTCTTATTCCAATTGCAAATGGGTCTGAAGAGATGGAGATCATAATTCTGGTTGATATTTTAAGACGGGCAAAGATAAATGTGGTATTAGCGTCAGTTGAAAAATCTCCAACTATTCTTGGATCCCAAAGGATACAGATTGTTGCTGATAAAAGCATTATGAGTGCCTCTGATTCAATATATGATCTAATCATTCTTCCTGTAAGGTCTCTTGCAGTTCATCTTTTTATTTGGATGATCATAAATGGTGACACACATTTCAACAATATATCTGCCATTTAATTGATTCATAGACATGGGACAAAATTGTCCCCACCGGATATTATTCCTTTGATGATGTCATGTTATTGATAAACAAAAAGTAAGGCCACTCTGAAGTGCATGTGATGTTGTACAGGAGTTAATATAGGTGTATATTAGCAATAAGCTAGTTTACTATGAAACGATCCAACTGAACAAAGCTTAAAAAAGAGAATCTTCATTCTTGCATTCTTACACAGCGCCTGGCTTTTAGATGTCATTTACAGTTTTTTATGGTATCACAACCGGTTGTACTAGCACATTGATCTTTGAGATTTAGCAGTTCCATTTAGACGGTTTAGTTTCTAGAATTCTAGTGTTGTTGTATCTCAGCATATGGTTGTCCATAGCAATGTTTGTATATTTATCAGATAAATCATGTGTATACTTCAATTATGAATCTCTTTTTTTTTCTCAAACACGTATGAGAGCTGTGTATCATTGTATTAATAGAAGAAGAGAGTCGTACATAGACCCAAACCCACACACACACCCACTAGTACATGTAGGCCCCGTTCGGCTGGTAGAATTTTGGCTGAAACTGGCTGAAAAACACGGTTCTGGCTGAATTGTTGTGAGAGAAAAACACTGTTCCGGCTGAAAAAAGAAGCCAAACAAGCCGAATATGGGGTAAGCCGAACGGAATTTATGCCTGAAACTATTTTTGTGTACTTAGTTTTTGGGCTTTATAAATGCAAAGGTGACTAAATTTATGCCTTTTAATCGTGTGCAGCTACATGCTGTGTTGTTCTTCTTTCATTTTATATGTTGCATCTTTCATAATCCAGGGAGGACCTGCTGGAGCTGAGCGGCTGCACAGGTCCAGAATTCTGAAGAAGTTACTCAAACAACAAATGCAAGCTGGCAGGATGTATGGTGGGGTTTGTTCTGCTCTGAAGGTTCTGCAGCAGCAAGGTTTACTCGAGGTGAAATTCTAAGACTAAAAACTCATGGCACATCATATGTCCTTGAAATGGAAATTGACATTGGATTATTTTTAACCTCAGGATAAAACAGTGACAGCTCATCATGCTGTAGCCAGTGAGCTCACATGCCAAGTTATAGACCAACCAAAGGTTGTGATCGATGGGAATTTGATCACTGGTAAGGGGCTTGGGACAGTTGTTGATTTTGCCCTAGCTATCATCAGGAAATTTGTTGGCCATGGACGAGCCAAAGCTGTGGCGAATGGAATAGTTTTTGAGTACCCTAAGAGCTAAACCCCAAGAATTGTTGAAATTACAAAATGTGCAATAAGGATAGATGAAACACATTATGGATGTAATTGAAGATCTGGCTACTATCTATGCTTCTGATAAAAAGGTGAGCTGATGCTTTTGGGATAGCAAAAGATTCCTCTATTGTTGCCTTTCTGGACAGCTGGAATGAAATCTCCAGATCCACTATATATGTTGGGATGGACCAAATTTACACTGGGAAGCTTCAGTGGCAGTCATTTCATCAGCTTCCTGATATGATTTATTGGTGGATAAATGACAGAGTGATTGCTAACTGGTAAGTTCTATTTGATATTGATAGACATGAATACTTGTTTCCACACTCACGATCTTATCTTGGCTGACGTTTTTTAAGGAAAAACACATCTTTTTTTTGTACAAAGGCAACATATACACTTTTAAAAAGAGAGAACATATACTTGTAACTTGAGCTCAACAACAATTTGGCGATATCTCTCACTATTGAAATAATGCATGTGCCCTTTCCTCCAGCACTTAAGAATTTTTTGAGGAATCTCATGTTTTTAAGTTTACACAAATGACAACCATTTGCCGGAACTTAACTGATGTAGTGTATGCTATATGCAGATTATGTGCATTCAAAGGAAACATTACTGTCTTCAATGTGCCTGTATTTGGTTTGGGGGTGTATTTTCCAGAGTTTTGAACTCTGACGGCCTTAGATGTTGCCATCATGCTATATTGCTATGTTCCCATCCGTGAATTCGTCTGAGAAGCTTGGCAAACTAATTTCGGACTTCCCCAGAAACTGTGTTTCAGGAGTGCAGGCTAACAACTGAATCAGTATTTAATTAGATTCGAACTTCAGTGCTGCAGTATTTTATTGGAAGTCATTTTAATCTCTTTGTGTGTGTATTACTGATGAATTGTGGTTTTTAGCTCGATGGGTTAAGCGGGACATGTGCTCGCTTGGCTGTCACTATAAGAAGTAATGCCAGTTACTGAATTTGAAATGCAGTTAGCACAACATAATCGGTTATTTTGCTTGCTGTCTTCAGGCTTTGGCAAGATTAACTTCTTTTTTTTTTTTGGATCTGGCAAGATTAACTTTTGGGGTGAAGCCAAGAGTCGTGCTGCTGACCAAGTCAGAACATGATTCCCAGATCTCAGACTGGAATGTTATCTGAAATACTGTGATAGTTTCTGTAAAAGCGTCGCAATTGAGACAATCAGAAGAGGAACTGTTGTTATTATGTGGTCAGACACCAGTAACCGCAGTTCTCGTTGTCACACGCGCATGAGCGAGAGCAGTAAATATTGTTTTGATTTTCAAAAAAAAAGAAAAACTCTTGTTTTGCGGCTACTTTCTTTATATTCTCCTGGTAGAATCAAAACTAAAAGGAATATATCCAGAATATGAACCCTGTCGTAGGCAGATTATTCTGGGTAGCCATTAGTCCCCAATGACTACATCCACATACTACTACAACAGTATATAACTACATTCACATCCATCTCAGAATAATGTGGACATGCTGCTGTTCTGAGCAAGCCGTTGGTTGCTCTCCGTCCTGATGGACAGGACACAGGAACTCCCGAGGTTATTCCACAGCTTTGTGCAGGTCACTCCTCACTCAAGCTTTGTGCAGGAAAATGTACCGCCATGCTCGCAGATTGCTTAACCCTACTACCGGAGCCATGGTAAAACTGCTGAGGTGTACATGGATTCAATTGAGTGAGCTGCTAAACAAAGGCACGTCGCAATCTAGAAGTGCCTTCAGCCTTGCGATAAAGGTATTATTATTCAGGAAACACAAATGGCTCCATTTTTTTTGACGCTGTTGTAGCGAAATAAAGACGAAAAGAACATGATGGCTGCGGCCGCCGACCTAGTGTTTTTTTTTTTGAGACGTCCGCCGACCTATTATGGTGCGGCGCTGATCTACACTGTCAAGGTTTGGAGGGTTTCTCGACATGTAATGAGAGATCATTCGTTTGGTAGGTCGAATTTTTATGGTGATCTAAAGACATAGCTTTTTTTTTTAGCAAAATCTAAAGACATAGCTATGCCAGGCTCATCCCGTACGTACCGTCATCAATTCAGCCCAATATAGCCCAAAAACACGTTGCAGCCCAACTACTAGATCTATGGCTATTAGATTATTTACTAAAGTCATTATCACGGTAGTCCAACTTGCCTGAACTACAGAATTGGACACTCCCTAACTATTAAAACTGGACAAAACACAACGCCACAATAACATTGCCCTGGTTTTCATCCCATGTGACGCTTGTGTGGAGCAATTTTGACACGTAACACAATAGCACTCGAAGTGATGGCAACTGAGAATTCCTTGTTGGGGAATGATTCCCTGTCCCTTCTCTGTCAAAAAAAAAACACTCGATGGAGATTCCCATCCCCTTAAATAGTATTTTCTCTGTCCCAAATTATAAGACGTTTTAGTATTTTTAGATTCATAGCTTTTACCATATATCTAAACACAATATATATCTAGGTGCATAGCAAAAGTTAAATCTAGAAAAACCAAAACGTCTTATAATTTAGAACGGAGTAGTACCAATATATACATATTTTGTATTATATATATGTATTATAGATTATTAATACCTTTACCTATATAAAAATTATAATTCTAGTTTTGTTCTAAGTCAAACTATCTTAAATTTAACGAAGTTATAGAAAAATAGCATCGATATTCAAATAAGTATACTATGAAAATATACACTGTTATAAATTAAAGATACTTATTTGTATCATAAATATTGATGTTTTTTTATAGAAATTTGATCAAAATTAAAATGGTTTGGTTTAGGACAAACTTAGATTTGTATTTTTTTTTTCTATAGGACTAAGATCAACCAATCTAGATTAATAGTCCCATGGGGAAACGCCAAAACGGGGACCATCGAGTCAATGCCTAACACTCTAGCAGAGGCTAAGGTAATTGCCCATTCGTACTAATGCACATGTATCAAAAAAATAAACCAAACAGAACTCAGAAAAATCACTGAAGCTAGACCCCGTTTTGATCGGGTGACTAATTGTTACCTGGCTAATGGCTACAGAATTGTTTAGCCATGTGTTTGATACAAAACTAATAGATAGATAAAATCCTGTTAAAAATCAGTTTTGTTCTTAGAATTGCTGTTCTACTCTCTACATGTGCTGTTTGGGCGCCATTAGCTTGATATTTTGATCGTTCCGTTGCCAGTCTAGCCAGCCATTGCGTTAACAACTAGTTGAGGCTAAGATGAATTGTTATGCAAGTTATTAGCCCCCTGTTTAAATGGGCTAGGGTTAAAAATTAGCTGGCTGTCTTTTTTTATTGTTGTTTTTGACCTAAATTAGCTGGGTCTTGCCAGCTAGTGAGAATCTCCCACCGAGTGACTCCATCACCAATTATCTCGATCTAGGAACTGCCGATTCAAAAACTGAGAGCAAATTTTACTCTCATTCCCCTGCCACTTTGCTGGCAGCTTTGGAAACACCGGCATGACGCCAGTATGTCCAGACAACAGCCACGGTCTCTTCCTAGACTTTTGCTGGTGGTCTCAGCGTTGTATTGTATAATTTATTTATTTTTTTAAAAAAAAGAAGGCAGGCTCCGGTAGGCAATGCCGGCTGCTGCGCCAAGACGGAAAGACCAAGCAGTTGGAGACGCATGGTGCTTATCTTTTAGTTCAAACATGTAATCCTTTATATGTTTCGGTTTTTAAAGTGTAACTGCTGAACCTCTGATTTTCGTGAGCTTGCAGGAGGCTCCTTAATGGAATGCCTTGGTGGAGCCTCCCCATCCTTAAAAAGAAACTCGTCAGCAGGGAAGGGACAATCGTAATTATAGTTTTCCGAAAATTTCCAAATTGCCGGTTTTTCTCTCACACCAAACTAGCCAAGCAATAATCCACGATACGATACGGCTTCCTAACAGTGATAGTTTTCCAAATGTGCCGCACGGCACGCACTAGCTCGCCAAGACGGACGCCTGATGAACGTTAGGCACGGTGAACTGCGTGCGTGTCAGTGTCGTGGCCACCGCGTTCGACTCGTGCTCGTGCACGGCACTATCATTTCGAGCGTGCCGCGTGCCGCTTCACCGACTTCAGTCCAAAGGTGCTCGTGCGTGCCGGCCGGTGCACTAAACCGGCAAAACCCTCAATGAACTCAAAGACAAGAATTCAAAGAGATCTAAAATGACTAAGTTCACAAAAGATCAAAAACAGATCGTAACACAAAGACAAAGAAATAACACAAACTTTTGAAACTAAAACTAATTTAAGTAGGAGTCGTGCAATGGTGCCTTCATTAAAAACCCATTTAGGTAAAACTCACCTGTGAGAAATCCTAAACAGAAAAAAAGAGTACAACCAACCGACTCCTAGATTAATTATTCATTACATCCATCACCACAAGTCCAAGTCTTAGTTATTACAGAACCATTACATAAATGGGAAGTGAACTATTTGACATCAAGATAAAGACCAGCAAAGACCTCTTCCAGCTCCTTGTTCTCCACCATGTGCTGCAGTCTTGTCTCAGCATTCTCCCAATCCTTGATGCAGGTAAGCGCCCTTACAGTTTGGGTTCAACCTCGCCACGCCGCCTCGATGATCCCGCCAGCTTAAGCTAAAAGTAGACTCAAGAAATGATTGACACAGTAATCACAAAATGTCTTTAGCAAGAATGTAGAAAGTACTGAATAAATAAGCTTGTGCTCATGCCACCACTGCATGATGTCAAACTCATCATCCAACTAGCTTACTATGTCATAGTCCAGGTAGGATGCAAGTTCACTAGATTTAGAACTAGCAGTTGCTGCCTGCAGCAAGGAAGTGGCAGAAACACTACTAGAATGATCAAGACTAAAAGGGAGGGAAGAATAGCCAGCTCCAACATCCAACTCCTCATCATCATAAATTTCAGCCCAAATCGTTTTTTTCTTACCGATGTGGATGGAGAAACAACCCTTTTCAAATTATTAGAGCCATACATTACATCATAC